TATACTTATTATTATTAAATTTAATTTTATTATTATTATATATTTTAATTAATAATCGTTTATAAGTATTATAATTCATATAATAGTTATAGTTTATATAATAATCTTATAAAGCTTTAAAACCTTATAAAGCCTTTAAAGCTTTATAAGCTTTATAAGCCTTAATGTTTTAAATGTTACGTAATCCCCCTTTATAAGATATAAGATTACTAAGTGTTAGCAAATAAGAATAACTTTTTTCACTTCTTAAGCTTTAAATTAAATACATTTTTATTAATATATTAACTTTACTTAATCTTACTTTTATAAATCTTTATTTAAAAAAAATTACTAATTAATTATTACCTTAATTCCTTTAATTATTTTATCCTTAATCGTTTTAATTATCTTAAACTTAATTAATTATTTTTAATTAAAAACTTAAATTTATATTTAAAAAATCAAAAAATCATAAGTTATATTATAAAATTAAAAAACTTATAATTAATTTTTATTAAAAAGTAATTATATTATTAAATAAAAAATAATTATCGTTATAATTAAAAAATTAATTAAATATAATAAGTTTTTAACTTTAGCTTAAACTTAAACCTAATCTTAAATTTAAAATTAAAATTAAACTTAGATTTTATTTAACTTAATTACTTAAAACAAATAAACTATTTAAGTTATTTAAATTAACTTATTTATTTATATTAAAAATTAAAATAATAACGATTATTTTAACTTTTAAAATGCCTTAATTTAATTTTATAAGTTATTATTTATAAGTTTTTAAAACTTCATTTTAATTATTTTTTTAAAAAATTATTTTAAATCGATATTATTTATATTTTTCGCATTTTATTATAACTTTTCTTAATAATTAAAATTTCTTATAAAAATAAATATTATAAAATATCTTATTTATTTAAAGGATATTTTTATGTTAGAATTTTTTTAAAAAATTATTATAAGAAATTATTATAGGAAATTATTAAATTAATTATGTTATTAAATATTTTTGTAATTTTTAAAAACTTATATAGGAAAATTAGGATTAATTAAATCGTTTTTAATGTTAATTATCCGATAATTATGCGTTTTTTTTAAAAGTTTTTTATTAATTATATTTTTTTAAAGTAAACGTTTTTTATTAATTATATCTTTTTATGTTAACTATTTTAAACTTTATTAATTATAGTTATACGTTTTTTTAACGTTTTTTATTAAAATATAGTTATAAATATGGATAAGTGAATAATATAATTATTATTATATAAGTATATTTTTATTATTATTATTATATAAGCATATTTTTATTGCTATTATTATAATTTATTAAATTTTATTAATGTATATATAATTAATTTAAAATGTTAAAAGTTTAACTTTTTTTTTTATATATTAATTAATTAATTAATTTTTTACGTCTTATTATATAATGGTATTTTTTATTACGATTAAAAAACCTTTAATTTTTATATTATTTCGGTTTATTTAAAAAGTGAGTAATATGTTTATTTGGAAAATCTTTAAACCTTTTAATTATTAAAGGGTTAATTAATAATTGTTTTATTTTTATTTATTATTTAATTATGGATTTTATTTTTATTTATTAACTATATCCTTATTTATATTTTATCCTTATTTATTAATTATATTATTATTTATTAATTTTACTTTTATTTATTAATTATATCCTTATATATTAACAAAGTTATAAAAGTTTTAACGCATAAGTTATTGGTAAAGTCTTAAGTAACTTAACCATTAAAACCACATATATCCCGTTAAAAGGATTATTTAAAGTTATTTTAATTATTAAAGTAACATGGGTTTATTTAAAGATTTATATTAAGTATTAATACACATATATATATGTATTAAATGTATATGTATTAAATGTGTATATATTAAATGTGTATGTATTAAATGTGTATGTATTAAATATATATATATTAGATATGTATGTATTGGATTTGGATAATGTAAACGTTATCCTTTTCATTAAAAAGGAGGTGATGTTAAGACATGGATGGATGTGGCTATAGACGTGGATAGCCATTCCCGTGGTTATTTATGGCTATTATTATATAAGCATCTCTATAACTGCTGTTATTACAGCTTATTAAACCTTATTCTCTAAATGGTTATACCTTCCTTTTATCACTTATTCCTAACTTTTAATCTTTTTTTAACTTTTTAAAATTAACTTTTTAAAATTGACTTTTTAAGATAGTTTTTTAGTTAAACGAGCAAAATTTCTTCGGCTAACACAACAATTCCTAAAAAAAAAATATCCAAAAGTGATTTAAAAGCTTATCCCAGAGTTTATAAAGGGCCACAAGCCGATAAATCACTTTTAGATATTTTTTTTTAAAGGAAAGCCGGAGAAATTTTATTTATGTTTATAATTTTATTTTTCATTAATGTAAGAAATTTTTTTATATTAATAATTCTTTTAAATTTCTTAATAAAAATATAATTAAAAATTTATATATTATGTTTAAAAAAATGATTAAATATTTTTAACTTTAATATTTAATTTAATTTTTTAAAATGTTTTATTTTTTAACCGTTAAAATTAACTTAAATTTTTTTTTAAAAATCTTTATTATAAAGGTTATTATTATATATTAAGAATGTTTTTATATTGATAGGGCCACCTGTCACATGCCCTTGAACGTGCCTTCTATTAGAAGTAGCTAGATATATAAGTAGATAGCTGAGGTCTTTAAATTTTAGCTAACCTTTATAATATAAGCTTCTTTAATTTGATCTTATGATACCTATACTAAGACTAATATTTGGTAGCTTTGCTTTACTCCCTTTAAATTTGTTTTCACCTTGTTGGCGACCCTAGTTGTTGTAAAGGGGTTAGTGAATTTCTTGGAGGGTCTGTAACCCCCTCCTATTTTATTATTTTTTCTGCCTACCCACCTTTCTCCTATTAAAATTTTACCCTACCAGCCATATGCCGAAGAGGGGTCTCTTGGTTTATTGTTATTATTACTTATTCTATTATTATTATCTTCTTAGTGGGTGTGCTGGCTGGATCTGGAAATTAAGGTCTTTTTATAATAAAGGTAAATAGAATTAAGTCATTAAGAGAAGAGTCTGCTACATTATCAATATCTTAGGGCTTTTAGTTAAGTTATTAGATATATTATTAGTTTAATCGATAATTAAGAGTTGGTTTGATATATTAGTTAGTTTAGCTGATAAGTAAATTAGGAATTTATTAGAAAAATTAAAAAAAAATTTTACCCACAACCCTAACCACCAAACCTTATTTTATGATTTCTTTATTTATTAAGCCTTAATCGATAAATTTTAAACCTTGTTAAACCCTCCTATTATTTAAATATTTGATACGAGATACCTAGCTTTTATAGGAGCCTGGCCGCTTGCTGGCTTATATATAAGAAAGAGAGGCTTTTAAATAGGTTAAGTAATTAGCTGGGTAATTAACTTATTTATATATAAGAAAAAAAGTTAATTAGATAGGTTAAGATTATTATACCTAAGCTTATTAATTGGCCGATATAAGAACTAGCTAAGCCCATCAGCCTATATATGAAAAAACTTATTATAAGAATAGATAATTTAGTTTTAAAGGATTATAAGATATTTTTATCGTAATCCTTCTAAACGGTTAGTAGGCTAATTGGAAGGTAATCCATATTATTAAAAAAGGATGAAAGAGGCTGAGAAAGGCTAAGTAAATTAGATGAATATCTGGATCGATAGTTTTGGTTAGATCGTAATAATTCTTAATTACAAACATATAAAAAAAAAAAAAAAAAAAAAAAGGCGTAAGGGTAGTAATAGGGCCACCTATCACATACCCTTAAACGCACCTTCTATTAGAAGTAACTAAATATATAAATAGATAGCTAAAGTCTTTAAATCTTAGCTAACCTTTATAATATAAGCTTCTTTGATCTAATCTCATAATACCCGTACCAAGACTAACATATATAATATATATTTAATGTTAAAGCATTTAATTTATCGATATTTTTTAAGTTTATCTTTTTATTATTATATTTATCTTTAATATATATATTTTATAAAATTTCTCCGGCCTTCCTTCAAAAAAAAATATCCAAAAATGATTCATCAGCCCGTAGCCCTCCGCAAGCTCCGGAACGGGCCTTCGAATCACTTTTAGATATTTTTTTTTTCAAGAACCGCTGCGCTAGCCGTAAAAATTTTGCTCGTCCAATTAAAAGACTATCTTAGAAAGTCAAAAAAAGATTAAAAGTTAAGAATAGGTAACAGAAAAAAAGCGTAACCATTTGGAGGATAAGGTTTAACAAGCTATGGCAGCAACAGCCATAGAAATGCCCACATAGCAGTAACCATAGATAGCCACAGGAATGGCTATCCACATCCATAGCCACATCCACGTCCATGGCCACATCCACGTCCATAGCCATATCCTAATATCACCCCCCTTTCAATAAAAAAGATAACGTCCACATTATCCAAATCCAATAACCTATATACATATATGTGTATTGATCCCTGATACAAATCTCTAAACAAACCCGTGCTGCTTCAATAATTAAAATAACTCCAAACAGTCCTCCTAACAGGATACATATGGTTTTAATGGTTAGGTTGCCTAAGACTCTACCGATAGCCTATGCGTTAAGGCTCTTACAGCTCTGCTGATATATAGGGATATAGTTAATAAATAAAGATAGGGTCAATAGATAAAGATAGGATCAATAAATAAGGATAGGCAAATAAAGATATAGTCAATAAATAAGGATAAGACATAAATAAAGATATGGTCAATGGATAAGGATGGGATCCATAGTTAATCAATAAATAAAAATAAGGTCTATAGTTAAGTAATAGATAAAGATAGGACGGTTGTTAATTAACCATTCAACAACCAAAAGGTCTAAGGATTTTCTAGGTAAGCATATTACTCACCTTTCAGATAAACCGAGATAATATAAGGATTAGAAGTCTTCCAACCGTAGCAAAAGATAAGACTTAAAAGGTTAATCAATCAATCAATATATAAAAAAGAAAAAAAAAGCTAAACTCCCAACGTCTCAAACTAACTATATATACACCGATAAAATTCAGCAAACTATAGCAACAACAATAGAGATATGCCCATACGGCAACAGCAATAGAAATATGCCCATACGGCAATAACAATAGAAATATGCCCATACAGCGGCAGCAATAGATAGCCATAAAAGTAGCTATCCACCTATCCACGTCCATAGCCATGTCCTAACAAAAAACGTTAAAAAAAACGCAACTATGGTTAACAAAGTTTAGGACAGCTAGCATAAAAAGATACAGCCAATAAAAAGCGTTTGTTTTAAAGAAATGCAACCAATAAAAAACTTTTAAAAAAAACGCACGGTTATCAGGCAACTAACGCTAAAAACGATCTAACCAATCCTAATTTTCCTGCACGGATTTTTAAAAATTACAGAAGTATTTGATAACGTAATTAATTCAATAATTTCCCATAGTAATTTCCCATAGTAATTTCCCATAATAATTTTCTAAAAAAGTTCTAGCATAAAAATATCCTCCGGATAGATTAAGTGATTATATTTTTATTTAAGATTTAATTTTAAAGGGTTTAATTTTAAAGTTAAGGTAATAATAAAAAATTAAATATAAATGTTATAAAAATGTGGGTGTATGTTAATGTAATTTAATTTATGTTTATAAGTTTAAATTTTTAAGAAAAACTTTTTATAAAAAAAAAACTTTATAAAAAAAAATATAATTTAAAATAATGGGTTTAAGTATAAAAAGTGTAATTATGGGTTAATAAAATTTTTTTAATAATATAATCGCGCATTATCGCGAGGTAATGCGGGGTTAAGGTTTATAAAATAAATAACGTATAAATATTTAACTATTAAAATATAATATAATTATTATAATGGATATAATCCTTAGAGCTTAAGGCTTTAAAATTATATTTGCCTCTTAAGTTTTAAACATTATTTGAAGTATTTATTATGGAAAATTATATAAAGATAAAAATATTTTAATAGATGTTTTTTTTTCTTTTTTAATTTTTTTATAGTTAAATAAAATAACTTTTAAATGAAAAATATTAAATCTTTTATTTTAATTATTATTTAATATTATAATAAAAAAGTTAAAAAAGTTATATTTAAGAAGGTTATATTTTTAAGAAAAAATATCATTATACGATTATAATAAGAAATTTAAAACGATTATGTTATAACTAAGCGATTTATTAAAACGGTTTAAGATCGATTTTATAACCTAAAAAGTGGACATATTAACGTTTATTATTAAGAGTTAAATAAAGTGTTTTATTATAAAGTAAGATATTTAAATTAAGAAAATTATTATATTAATTTATAATTTCTCGTTTCCGGCTATTATATATTTTAAGAATGGAAATTTATTTATATAAAACATAATTAAATTAGGCAAATATTTTAAGGAATGGCTTATTTATATTTATTTTTTTAAGAAATTTAAGAAGATTAAATAAGATAAGTATTTAAATATTTTCACTTTTATTAAATAGAAATATGTTATTTAAAATATCTAAAAATGAATCAATTAATTAGCTTTAAATGTTTGTATGGGATAAACCTTTACCGTAAAATTTCTCCGGCCTTCCTTCAAAAAAAAATATCCAAAAATGATTCATCGGCCCGTGGCCCTCCGCAAGCTCCGGGACGGGCCTTCGAATCACTTTTGGATATTTTTTTTTTCAGGAACCGCTGCGCTGGCCGGAGAAATTTTGCTCGTCCAATTAAAAGACTATCTTAGAAAGTCAAAAAGGGGTTAAAAGTCGGGAATGGGTGACGGAAGGAAGGCGTAACCATCCGGAGGATAAGGTTTAGCAAGCTGTGGCAGCAGCAGCCATGGAGATGCCCACATGGCAGTAGCCATGGATAGCCACGGGAGTGGCTATCCAAGTCCAATAACCTATATACACACATGTGTGTTGATCCCTGATACGAATCTCTAAGCAGACCCGTGCTGCTTCAATAATTGAAATAACTCCAGACAGTCCTCCTAGCGGGATACATGTGGTCTTAGTGGTTGGGTTGCCTGAGGCTCTGCCGATGGCCTGTGCGTTGAGGCTCTTGCGGCTCTGCTGATATATAGGGATATGGTCAATGAATAAGGATGGGATCCATGGTTGATCAATGAATAAGGATGGGGTCCATGGTTGGGCAATCAATAAGGATATGGGCAATGGATAAGAATAGGACGGTTGTTGATTAACCCTTCAACAACCAAAAGGTCTGAGGATTTTCTGGGAGAGCATATTGCTCACCCTTCGGATGAACCGGGATGGTATGGGGGTTGGAGGTCTTCCAACCGTAGCAAGAGATGGGACTCAAAAGGTCAATCAGTCAATCAATATATAGAAGAGAAAAAGAAAGCTAAGCTCCCAACGTCTCAGGCTAGCTATATATACACCGATAAGGTTCAGCAAGCTGTGGCAGCAGCAGCCATGGAGATGCCCACATGGCAGTAGCCATGGATAGCCACTCCCGTGGCTATCCACGTCCATGGCCATGTCCTAACAGCGCCAGTATGGTTTACGAAGTGTCAAAGGAAGTTACAACTGAATTGCAGCTAATTCCATCCAATCAAAAGCGTTAAAAGAAACGCACGGCTATGGTTGACAAAGTTTGGGACAGCTGGCATAAAGGGATGCAGCCAATAAAAAGCGTTTGCTTTAAAGGAATGCAGCCAATGAAAAGCTTTTAAAAAGAACGCACGGCTGTCGGGCAGCTGGCGCTAAGAACGATCTGACCAATCCTGATTTTCCTGCACGGGTTTTTTGGGAATTACAGGGGTATTTGATGACGTAATTAATTCAATAATTTCCCATAGTAATTTTCTGAAAAAGTTCCAGCATAAAAATATCCTCCGGATGGATTAATTATCTTATTAATCTTAGCCTTATAATTTGTATAGCTTAATATTTAAAAAAAATTTAAATTTACGGCAAATATTATAAAACTTAATTATATAATGTTTTAAAAGTTATTATCTAAATATTTATTAGAAATCTTTTAAGAATTAAAAGTATAAATATTATTGTTAATAGGATTTTTTTAATTAAACGATAATTTATTTAATATTATTGAGAATATTTTTAAAAATATTAAAAGATTTTATGAACAGGTTTAATATTTTGGTATATGGGAATTTATAATTAATAATAATATTAATAAAATAAGTTTAGCTTATAAATAAGTGGAAAAAATTATATATGTGTTATAAGGTTAAATAATTAATTTAGAAAAAGAAGTTAAAATTCTTTAAACTAAAATTAATTAAATAGTTAAGGTAAGTAGTTAAGAATTTTAAGAATAAGATAATTAAATTAATTTATTTTTTAAATAAATTATAAGAATAGTTAATATTTTAAATATTTGTTAATTTATTAAATCTAAATTATTATAATTAATAAAAGTTAAAAATCTATTTATATTTATAAATAATAAAGTAAGTATTAAAAAGTTTAAGGTTAAGTTTACTTAATAATATATGTTATTAAAGAATAAATTAATAAATAATGTTAATTATTTTATTAATAAAGAGGATTATATCGTATATATTTTTAATTAAATAGGAAAATTTGTTATAAAAACCGTTATATTTTTTATATATAACGAAACGGATAATCCTCCGTTATATATAACTTAAGATAAAGTGATAATTTATTTTAAAATAATTTTTAAGGATTATAATGTTTATTTTAAAGTTTATATTAAATTTTAAAATTTATATATAATAATAAATCAAAAATCCATTATTTTTAAATTAATATTTATTTAAATAACAAGATTTATGCAAATCCTATAATTTAAGTATAAGGAGTAACTTAATAAAAAGTTATTTTTATATTTAAATATAAAAGTGGTAAATAAATTTTATAATAAAAATGTTAATTTTAAAGATTTTTACGTTACGTTATAACGTTATAACTATATTTATTATATTAACCAGGTAATGTAACGATAAGTTAAATTAATTAAAAGGTTAATTAAAAGAAAAACTAAAATTAAAAGTGGCGTTATCTTAAGATAAACTTAGTTAAAAACTGGAATTCCTATAATTAAAAGTATTATTTAAAATATATTATAATTAATTATAACTTTTATAATAAGATTTTAATAAATAATACTTGCGGTAAACATTAGAAATTCCTAAATAATTGAAATTATTATAATAAATTAAAAAATTTATATAAAATCTTATAATATAAATAATTATAAAAAGTTTTTAAGTAAAGGATTTTATTTTATATGTTATAAATTTAAATATTAAAAATTAAAATGTTTATATAAAAATAAAACCTAATATTTATATAACGTTTAGGTTAATATAACGGTAATATAAATGATAAAAAATTAATTTTAAGGAAAATAAACTTTTATCTTAAAATAAGTATAATTAAATTAAGAAATAATATTATAAAAAGACTAAATAAATTAAAAAACATAAATTATTTATTAAAAGGATTATTTATATTTATAAAAGTTATAATAGTTTATAATAAAAGATTATTAATAATTTAAACATTAGTTAATATAAGAGTATTAATTAACGTAATAATAAATAAAATAATTATTAAAAAATTAATAAAATATTTAAATATAATATTAAAAGAAAGAATATTAAAAAGCTTAACAGGTTTTAACGATAAGATTTTTTAAAAGGTTAATTTGGTGATAAAAATAAATTTACGCCTGTAATAAAGGGTAATTCTTAACGTAAAAATAGTTATAATAAACATAAGATATAACATAATATTAGGACATATATTTATGGAAAACCATAATTTATTTATAAATTATAAACAAAATTATTTATTTTTTTTACCGGAATAAGTTCTTAACTTACCTTTAATAAAGGATATTTTTATAAACTAAGTTAAAAACCTTTTAACCAATCCATTTTATAACAAAAATATGGAATAACGTAATAAACTTTTTAAAAAGGAGGATAAACGAAGAAAAGATAACTATATAAATTAAACTTATAAAATAATAAATTAATAAATAAATACACCCCTTTTAAAACAAATATTAAACAAAACCCTTATATAACAAAAAATTAAAAAGCTTAAACAAATATATCTAAAAAAAATATTTATTTATATTATAACCCTTAAAATATTATTAGAATTTTTACAACGGTTTTATAAACTAGAAAAAGGGTATTATTAAGAGGAGTCCTACATAAATTAATAATTAA